GCAAAAATCTCTCTTAAAAAAAAAAAGTGAGCTACAAATCATCATGAACTATTAAACAGTCCCATTGTTTGGGCATAGCTGGCTTGGTCCTCTGCTCTGTGCCCACTGGCTAAGGATCTGTCCCTGGTACCAAAGCCCCCTTTCTACCTAGCCAGAGCTCTGGGGAGATGCTGATGCCCAGTGACCTAGGACAACTGAACTCCTGGCTTTCCAAGGCCTGCCAGATCTGGGACACACGGGACTCAGGGTGTGTACACAGTGCGTAGGGATTACATAAGCTGCACACACAGCACCAAGGAAACACGCATAGACCAGGACACTTCAAAAAGTTGGTGGAAAATGGAATTAAAGTATGAGTTTATCTTCGTATGAAAATATTTTGAAGTCCATGCATAGTTTTTCTCCAAAATAATATACATTGTCCATGAACTTTTGAGAGACCCTTTATATGAACACAACACATAAGCACAGTGCACCTGGCCTATGACCTAATATGTAGCTCACGGGTGAGTAACTGAGGAGTGAGATGAGCTGAAGGAAGAAGCACAAGGCAGGAGCCCCCGAGTCTTCCACTCCATCCACACTGACCAGCTGCGTAACCTCACGCAAGTCTCTGGTTGCCTCAGTTCCTTCTTTCTCATCTGTAAAAGAGTGGCAATAACATCTGGGCTGCCTACCCTGGAGGGCTATTATAAGGCTGAAATGAAACGTTTTCTCAGAGGACACAGAAGTCATGAAATGCTTTTGGTCCCTTGCAATCATCACCAGCATTACCTGACCTTGTTTAGCTATGTCCTATTTGTATCACGTCAAGCTCTCAGCCATCTGTAATGAACTAGCGATTTTTTTTGTTTAATCTCTTTCTATAAGGCTGCAATGAAACGTTTTCTCAGAGGACACAGAAGGCCAAAGTCCTATTTGTATCACGTCAAGCTCTCAGCCATCTGTAATGAACTAGCGATTTTTTTTGTTTAATCTCTTTCTTTCGTTCATGAGAGAGAAAGAAAGAGGGTACCCTTGACAGAATCTCACCATGCCACAACCCCCAGTCTTCCAGTCAGCCAGGACCAAAGGGGCATGCAGGCACATGTGATGTGTTCAAGCAGACTTGGGATTTGAACCTGGGCCTCCCATGTGGTACCACATAGCACATCCTACCACCAGTGCCTGTAATGAACGATTTAATAAACAATTTTTATAGATAGGAAAAAGCGCTTCATAAGGTAAAAGTCCATGCACATACCAAGTAGTATTTTTGACTACTATTGACATGCAAACACTGTACTACACACCAAGACGATTTAAGGACCTGAGGTACACGAAATTGGATTAATTATAATCTTCAATTCATGACTCATGCCCTTGTCATTAGATTATTGACCCATGCATCTCTGCTTTAATTAATAGTTATTTTTAATCATGCAGTAGGCATCTGTGAACCCACTATCCAAATAATGACTAGGACTTGGACAGTAACATACGTCCAAATATTTGATTCTTCCACCTCCCCCTGCCAATCTCTTGATCCCAAACCAAGATAACCATCATCCTGCATCCTATGCTCCCCTTCCCCTCACTTTCCTTTTTTATTTTTTATATTTTATTTTGCTATAGGGGGTGTGCACTCACAGGAAAGAGACAGAGAGAGTGAGAAATCACTCCCAGGAGGGATGGTCACACTGCAGTCCTCTTGTCCTCCACTCTCCTCTCGGAATTCCGGGCCACACACACCCAGGATGATTCTCAAGCCTCCAGGTCTGGGACTTGAACCACACAGTCAGCCACGTGGGACTCAGCTGCCCCAACCTTCCCACCACCTGCTGGTCCCGACACTTGCCTTTTTATATAATTTTATTTCTTGAGGGACATGTTTCAAGATTTTATAAAAGACAAAGTTCAAAGGGTCTTAAAAAGGGAGGTGGTCAAGGGTGACTTTAGCAGCAAAATGAAGCTAATAAGGAAACACCTTATGGCAGTTTCAAAGTATCCCCTCCTTCTCATGGTGGTAACAATGATTACCAAGTGCTTCCTGTGCCCTTCTCTGTGTTCAGCCTTCCACCTGCATTGCCTTATTTAAATCTCATAAGGCTCTCTGGCTAAGAGTGCTTGCCAAGAAGCCAATCCTCACTTTTCCCTCTTAGATAGTGAAGAACCTCCAATATTTACCTAAGTGCACAACTTCCTGGGGGGAAAAATACATCTCCCAATTTCTCAGCCTCCATTACAGCTAGTCACAGTCGCGAGATTAAGTCGTAGTAAATGACTTGTAAATGGAAGCCCCCAAAGGGAAGAAGTATTGGGTCTTCGGGAAAGTCGTGACACACTTTTGCATAGAAAAACACACAAAAATATGTCATGACTTTCCCGACAACCTTATATGCCCTCCTACTCCTTTTCTCTCCTTCCTGCTAGCTGGAATGAAATCTCGGTTGGCTGGAGCATGCGCAGCCATCTTGGGTGATAAGATGTATAAAGTGAGACTACAGGTTTAGGATGACAGAATGAAAGCATAGAAGGATCCTGTGTCCTGGTGACATAGATCTGTACTATCGGCCCTAAGTCACCTACCCAGACTTTTATATGGAAGAGAAATAAAGATCCATCTTGTTGGGAACCAGCAGTTAGCGTAATGGCTATGTCGCTGGACTCCCACGTAGTCGACCGCGGTTCACATCCCAGACCTGGTGGCTTAAAACTCACGCCAGGCGTGTGTGCGTGCATGCCCAAGATCCCAAGAGGAGAATTGAGGAGAAGAGATTGCGGCATGACCATCCCCCGTGGGGGCTGATTTCTCGCTTTCTGTCTCTATGTCTCTCTGTGTCTGTCTGGCGAGCGCTTGCACCCTATAGTGAAAATCTCTCAAAAAAAAAAATATCCGTCTCGTTGAAGTGACTGAGGTTCTAGGTTTTCTTTTTTCTTTTTTTTTAGAGATATTTTTTCTATAGGGTCCGTGCACTCATCAGAGAGACAGAGAGACAGAAAGCAAGAAATCACCCCCCAGTGGGGGATGGCCATGGTGTAATCCCTTCTCTTCTTGAGATTTTTGGGCACACACACACACACACACACACACACGTGCCTGGTGTGAGTTTTAAATCACCAGGTACAGGACTCAAAATACTGTCGACTACGTGGGAGTCCAGCGACATGACCATTACCCCATCTGCTGGTCCCAAGGTTCTAGATTTTCTATCTCCCACCGTCAGACATTATCCTATTACACAGCCCTTTGAGGCGTGTACTGTTCTCCTTACCTCTTTCTTATATAAACGAGAAAACTGAAACCTAGCCAAATTGCATAACTTTCCTAGGCCACTTAGCTAGCAAGGGACAGACAGAAGTCTTTCTGATCCGCTGATCACGCCTGTGGCCCCTCCCCGTAGGTCCTGAGCAGACACATATGTCCCCATACCCTTCCTGATATCGGATACATAGTATCTTACCATTTCAGGGCAGGACCAGCTTAAAGAGGTAGGATCTGTGCTTTCCATTTTAGATCAGCTTTCAATCTCTTGTACCCTGGTTTCCTTCTGTCTCGGCCTCATCTGTCAGAGAGTAAAGATCTCTATTAATTTGTGTGGCCAGGTTATATATAGATAAATTACAAGTCCATGGTAACTTCTCTTCTGCAAGGTTCCCCACCCTGCCTTTACACCCTCAGGGAGTAAAAGTTTCTATTTTACTATGATGTGGCATTATGAGTAGCTGATGGAGGGTGGAAATCTACGGAAGTGGGTTTCTTGGAAATTTTCAGGTAACATTTGTCTTGATGAGATAGGATCATCCATAGACTGTAAGTATGCATATGCGCACAGAAAAAGTGGCTTTTGTAATCACTCCCAGTAGAGAAAAATACATATATGCATATATATATATATATATATATATAAATATATATCTCAAGAGAGGCTCTGTCTACTGAAAACTCATCCTTACAAAGGAAAATTTTTTGAGGTCAGAGGAGAGATAAGCAGTCTTCATTTCTTATGCTGGTATTCCTTTGGTAAAATAACAAATTCAAAGCAAAAATCACACACACATGAAGCTTCAAAACGTTTGTTGAAAATAGAACAAAAGTACAAGTTTATTTTGATGTAAAAAAAATGTTTGAAGCTCATGCATTTTTTTTAATAATACACACATCCATGACCTCTTTGGAGACCCCTCTGTGTGTGCGTGCATGCACATGTATACACACACACACACACATACACACGCATATATAAATCATTAGCCACAAAAATTTCTGACTTGGAAATTGATTTCAAATATTGGTCTCCACGGCCTCTATTACTGCTTTCATCTTGCCCCTCTGCTCTCAGAAGGTACTAAGAGCTGATCCTTAGAAATTCTTCCAGAGGAGGGTGCTAGCAAGTGGCATGATGGTTAAGGGTGCTGGACTCCACCCCACCATGGTTTGAGTCCCAGACCTAGTGGCGTGCTTTCTCACTCCCCCCTTCTCTCTTTCTCTCTCTCCTCTGATAAATAAATAAATAAAGTTCACTAAAATAATTATTTAAAGAAAAAGAAGAAATTCTTCCAGAGGGGAAGAAATATTCTCCTTCACACTTGTCTGCACACTGCTCTCTTTTTTTCTTTCTTTTTTCTTTTTAATGTTGCCAGAGGGCATGTAAAGTCACTGGAGAAAGACAGAGAAAGCAAGGGACACAGAGGAAGCTTCCCCCACCCGTTGGCATGGGCACAACGCAATCCCTTTTCCTCTCTATCTCTCCCTCTTTTCAGAATTCTGCACCTGTCCTCTCAAGCCGCCAGAGCTGGGACTCCAGCTCAGTGGTTGGCCAGGTGGGACACAGCCAGGAGGCCAGGGGCTGACCCTACACCGCTTTTTTGAGCTGTTAAATGCTACCGCAGGAGCAGCTGCAGCAGTGGTGAAGAATGGGAATGGAAAGAGAAAGACGGAAGAACCCCAAGGGGAAGGGAAACCTCACCTCTGCACAGCAACAAACATCACATGGTCCAAAGAGACTACAAATGGGACCAAGGAGGACTGGGGGGCGCCTAATTATAAATCCTGCGGCTTCGAATGGGAGATGTTGAAGAGAGGCAACTACCCCACCGTGTTCGAGAAGGCCTAAGGTGATTGTCTCTGCATTAAAAGCTTTGTCCTCCAGTCCCGTCTATGTCTGACACGTTACTTGCCACTCAGATGAGTAGAAGCATAGATAATGAATTGGGGAAGAGAGAAAGGAAAGGGGGTTTGCCGTCTAGGAATACAACCAGAGTGAGTCAACCCAAAGGATCACTAGGTCTCTGCCTGGTGACTCGGTGACACCTGGATGTTTCCCTTCCCTTAGGGGTGGATGTGGAAAGGGTGAAGATCTCCTAAGGGCATAATCATAAATGGCTTCACAGGAGAACATATTTTGAGGCCGCAAAGCATGCTGAAATCAAATCTTGGGTTCAAATCCCAGCGCCTGTTATTACACTTAAATGCACTTCAGTGTTCTCTATATATAGTGAAAGAGAAAATTATATTCCCTAGGATAAATATACAGACAGCATTTTGAACTGTTATTGTCACACAGTAATTGATCTCTAAACTCTTATTATGTAGCAGGTACCTTCATACTAATCATCACTCCCAGTCCTCTCAGCCATGTCCTGAATGGTACTATTTCTGCTACTTTGAGCATTGAAAACACTGTGGTTCAGAAAGGTTGAATAACTGCCCAAAGTGACATATAGATAAGGAAGAGCTGGAATTCAGACCCATGCTATTTTCGTGTGTCAAAGCCCAAGTTCCTAAATGCTCTTCTAAGTGGTCCAGCTGTCTGACACTCGCCAGGCTGCTCTGGGGAAGCTCCCCCAGTGTCTGTGCCTACCTCAGAAGGAAATAGGTCTGTGCTAATTTGTATGGCCGGATTGTATTACAGTCTGCCAACCCAACTTACTCAGAGCTTCCAGAGAGCTTCTCCTTCCCTGTAAGACAGAGTTAAAGCAATGATTTAAGCACTGAAAAATTTGGGATGCTAGCAGCTGTGAGCCTTTGCCAAAGGGCCTAAATATATGAGATATATGTGATATATGCGATATTTCATTTTGTCTACCTCTACAGAGAGGGGTAGGAGATAATTTTTGGCCCTATATTTCTCATAGGTTGTGAAAACTATAACACTGTAGAGATGAAAAAGATATATGGAAATCACAAGATCTGTTTCTTTCTTCCAGACATCACATCTGTACCATCCTATAGACAGGTCGATGTATGACCTTAAAATCATTAGGCTTGGGACCAGCAGTTAGCGTAATAGCTGTGTGGCTGGACTCCCATGTAGTCGACCACGGTTCAAGACCTGGACCCAGTGGCTTAAACTCACGCCAGGCATGTGTGTATGCGTGTCCAAGATCCCAAGAGGAGAATGGAGGAGAAGGGATTGCAGTGTGGCCATCCCCCCGGGGGGTGATTTCTTGCTTTCTGTCCCTCTGTCTCTCTCTGTCTTTCTGGTGAGTGTATGCACCCTGTAGCAAAAAACCTCTCCAAAAAAAACCAAAAATAATCATTAGATTCTCAGGCCAGAAGGTAGTGTGAAGGTTAAGGCAGCTGGATTCCATACAGTCAACTTCATGGTTCAAGTTCTGGATCCAGAGACTTGAAAATCTTGGTGGCCGTGTGTGTATGAGTGCCCAAAACTCTGAGAGGAGAAAGGAGAAGGTATCGTGGCATGGCCATCCCCCTTGAAGGGTGATTTCTCACTTTCTCTCTCTCTGTCTC